CGGGGGTCGGTGCCACCTGCCCCTCCTGCCCTTGGGATCCTCTCTGGGGCCTGGGATGACTTGGGGTTGTGGAAGGGTTTGTCCCATCTCCCTGCAGAAATGACCTGGCTGTGCACTGATGACCACAAGCCCCCATCTCTCTGACCCTCTCATTTCAATCCCATCGCCAGTGTGGGAGGCAGAGGCAATGCGGGGACTTAGGCTTGGGACCAGACTCAGACTCTCCTCAGAAGCCCTGCCACTGTGGCCCCATTCTTTTCTGCTTCCCCTTCTATAAAGTCTCCAGAACCCACCAAAATCATCTCTGCTCCTGGGTCCCTCTTAGCTCTGTCCAATGTGTCTTTTCCTGCCTGACAACACCTGTTCCATCCCATCCCATCTCATCCCATCCCATCCCATCCCATCCCATCCCATCCCATCCCATCCCATCCCATCCCATCCCATCCCATCCCATCCCATCCCATCCCATCCCATCCCATCCCATCCCATCCCATCCCATCCCATCCCATCCCATCCCATCCCATCCCATCCCATCCCATCCCATCCCATCCCATCCCATCCCATCCCATCCCATCCCATCCCATCCCATCCCATCCCATCCCATCCCATCCCATCCCATCCCATCCCATCCCATCCCATCCCATCCCATCCCATCCCATCCCATCCCATCCCATCCCATCCCATCCCATCCCATCCCATCCCATCCCATCCCATCCCATCCCATCCCATCCCATCCCATCCCATCCCATCCCATCCCATCCCATCCCATCCCATCCCATCCCATCCCATCCCATCCCATCCCATCCCATCCCATCCCATCCCATCCCATCCCATCCCATCCCATCCCATCCCATCCCATCCCATCCCATCCCATCCCATCCCATCCCATCCCATCCCATCCCATCCCATCCCACGCTGAGCACTTCACCAGGTCACTGCCTAACCCAGTGTCCTTGGGATGGCCAGGGTGGTTGGGGGGGCTGGTCTGGGGGGACTCATTAGTCACTTGCCTTTGATGACTCAAGCAAATCAGCTAAACCCATCAATGACCTGTTCCTGCTCAGAAACTTCGGGTTGTCTCACCTGTTAGATACAAACACCAAGGACCAGACTTGTTTTGCCTTCACAGAAAGTTGGTTTTAATTTGGTTTCCTGGGTAAATTTCAGTTCCCCCCAAGCCTCCTGGAAGCCCCTCACAGCTCTTCCGCAGAAAGCAGAAGTGGTTGTCTCACTCCTTCACCTCTTCCACCCACTGCTGGCCGTGCCCCCAGAACAAATGGTGACAAAAATCCCCTTGTCCCTGGGAAGAGGCTTCTTAGAACAGGTCCAAAATTTTTGGAGGAGCAGTTCAGTGGGTGGAATGCAGAGGATAAATTACAGCGCGGTGGGAGCCAAAGCCATGGACACCGGGCAGGGCAGCACGAGCAGGACACAGGAAGAGCCCTCAGGCAGCCACCATGCTCACTGCAAGGACAGTCCTGCTGCTCATGATGCTCCTCACCTTCTCCCTGCACCGTGCTGCAGGTAAGGCACCTCATCCTGCTGAGGTGGTCGGGCAAGAAACCCTGGTATAGAGCGGGGATGGTGCTGCTGGCAGGAGGAGCAACCCACAGCTGCACATCCCGGGGTGAAGGATAGAGGTGGCACCTGGGGCCGGGTGGCTTTGGCAAAGGGCTGACAGCATGGGGTGAGCCGTGTCCGTGTGAGGTTCCTCTGCAGAGGAGACCTCAGGGGCTTGGGGAGATGCTGCAGGAGCTTGGAGGAGACAGTTCCCCAGGTCTCAGCTGGGTGAGCAAGTGGCTTGAGTGGGGGGGGAGCACATGTGGCTGTTTGGAGCCTCCCAAAACACCTCGCAAGTTGTCCCCCCACCTCAGCAACCCCCAAAACCTCATCCCCAGACTGAGCACCTCAACCTCACCGTGAACTTTGGCACCTGCAGCCACATGGGCTGTGAGGTGCCAGGTCCTGGGCCGTTCCCCTCCCCACCACCACCCACATTTCCCAGTCCTGTGCTTGCTGCCATGAAGGGACACGAATCCCCACCCTGGGAAGCTGTGGGAGATGCTGAGAAGCCCCACGGCCTCCGTCCCGTGCTCAGTACCGTGCGGTGCCGTTGACTGGCAATGCCATTTGTTGGAGGATGCTCCCATGAGTGTTCACAATGTCTCCCCCTCCCCTCCGCAGCCCACCACACGCCCATCGAGTGCTGCTTCGGGTACGCGCAGAAACCCATCCGACACATGCAGAGTTTCTATGAGACGCCCAGAGAATGCTCCTTGCCTGCGGTGGTGTGAGTACCCCAGGGGTTGACCTCCCACCCCAAGCACAGCATCAGCTGCCCCACAGACAGCCCGGTCCCAGCTGGGAGAACATCCCTGGGAGGGGCTGCAGTAGGAGAGTGGGTCTATGGGATGGGCAGAGGGAGGAAAAAAATAGCTTTGGGGGTTTTCTGCTGATGTCAGTGCTC